CGGTTATATACAGAGTGTATATAAGACAGTGGAAGTAGGATGGTCAGATGACTGTTAGGTACATCGGGAATCAAAAGAGTAGGAATTTGACTTGTGAAAATGACTTGATTTTTCTAACTATAAGGACAGTAAAGGTCTATATATACTCCTTAGATAGATTCTAGGAGGTTCTATAGATTATAAATAGAATAGAAGTGCTTACAAATAGAAAGGGATACTAGAATGTTTCGGTTCACGTGATCGAACGTTCTAGAATAAGCGAGAACAGACTAAGGTTTAAACCTAAAGTCTATTAGTAAGTAAGGTAATTATTACCTAAATGAAACACACCCTCTTAATAAGTACTTTACTTATAATAGAGGTTTCTTACTTAACTTTAAAGTAGAAGTAAGAATATATATATATATATATATATATTTAAATAAAAGGGCCTAAATAAGAGACTAATAGAATTAACAATAATAAAAAGATAAACTCTTTTATAGAGAGTTTTAAACGCTAAGGAAAGAGTACTTCTTTTTAAAAGAAAGTGTTTTCAAAGTTAAATACTTTTATATAAAGCTTCTTTAAAGATATACTTTATGTAAAGTTAAGCTCTTCTAGAAACCTCTTCAATTTAACTTTATCTAAGGCTTTAGTAAAGCCGTCTGCCTTCTGTTCCTCGGTAGAGACGTATATAACGTCTATAATACCTCTATTTATAAGGTCTCTTATATAGTGATATTTCACGTTCATATGTTTAGTACGTTCGTGAAAGACTGGATTCTCGCTTAAGTCTATAGCACTTTGATTGTCTATATATAGAGGAAGCTTGATTTGCTTGTAGAGGTCTAATTCCTTTAATAAAGCTCTTATATATATAGGTTCTTTTGTAGCTAAATTAAGTGCTACGTATTCGGCTTCGGTAGAGCTTTGAGCTATTATAGTTTGAAGCTTACTTCGCCACGTAAAGGGACCTCCGGCTACATAAAAGATATAGCCGCTAGTAGACTTAGCTGTACTTATATCCCCCGCGTGATCCGCGTCGGTATAACCGCTTATATATTGAGAACAGTTACTATAATACTTAATACTATAATTGATAGTAGTATTAAGATATCTAAGAACTCGCTTAATAGCTTTAAAGTGATTCGGGGAAGGATTACTAGCGTATCTCGCTAATTTAATAGTAGAAAAAGCTATATCAGGTCTAGTTCCTAGAGTTATATAAAGTAAAGAACCTATAATGCCTTGAAAAAGCTTTATATCTTCTTTAGACGCTTGTTCTTTATAAGGAACTAGCTTAGTTTTAGCTTCCATCGGTGTATATATAGGGTTTGAGTTTTTAAAACCGTACTTTTCAAGTACTTTATATATATAATTTTTTTGACTTAATTCTAGAATTCGATTATTCGAGTTTTTATTTATAGTAACATCTATACCTAGATAATCCTTTATAAGTCCTAAATCTTTAACTATAAAGTGTTTTTCTAGGTCTCTAATAAGTTCTTTAGCTAATAGAGTAGACGGTGCTATAATAGCTATATCGTCTACGTAAATACTAAGTATAATCGACTTAGTTCTATTAATCCAAAGACAAGATTCAGAGGCTAGAGGGTTATACCCTAAGTTCCTTAAGTACTTTAGTTGAAAAATAGTACCAGATCCTAGCCGACTGTTTAAGGCCGTATAGAGCTTTAAGTAGTAATAAGCTAACTACTTTATTACTTTCCTCTATCGATAAATCTCCTATATAAAGACAGATTCCTACACCTTTAGGGGGTTTTATACAGAGATTATTAGTGTCTATAGGTCCGTGCGTAAAGGCAGATACTATATCTATCTTATATATAATAAGATTATTAAGTATAGATAAGGCAAAGGCTAGTTTCCACGAGATTTGTTTAATAACCCCCGCGTAAGAATCTATATAGTCTCTACCGTAGACTTGTTCAAAGCCTTTAGCTACTGTGAGAGGCCAGACCTCGAATAGCTCAAAGGTGTGGTTTCGAATATTCAATTAAGAAGTGCGTGAAGACTACATACATGCGAGCTCTTCCTCTATATATAGAGAGGAAGAGCTTCCTGAATATTCCAAGAAACTTGCAAGAAACTTGAATGACGAATACATGATGTCAGAAGAACAAAACAAGAAAGTGTGGAAAAGTAGAAACCTGTTTGGCAGTGGGGTAATGGCCAGTGCTAAGCAGGGACTTTG